CCCCGACCCTAAATGAGTACACGACGAAAACACAATCAGTGACTATCTGATGGTTTGTCTGGCTCAGCTTGGTTACGGAACAAAAGGCGGGAATCTGTTCTCAGAGTGAGGAGAGGTGGATCCCTGCCTGCAAGAAACAATGGGTTTTGATCCTGGAGCGTAGGATCAGAGGAGTGGAATTAAAAAGCAGGCAGGGGCACCTGGGTGGCTCAGCTGGTTAAGTGTCCAACTTCGGCTCAGGTCATGATCTCACGATCTGGGAGTTTAAGCCCCACATTGGGCTCTGGACTCTGGGCTGACAGCGCAGAGCCTGCTTGTCTCCCTCTCTCTGCTCCTCCCCCGCGCTCTCTCTCTCAAAAATAAATAAACATTTAAAAAAACAAAACAAAAACAGACAGAATTCCTTTCCAGGAAAATGTGGGTCTCTAACAAGCACTTGTTTGTTACCAATGTTACTGAGTGCTTACTAGATATGAGACACTGTTGCTAGGTGTTTTATATGTGGTATCTCATAATAACCTCGCAAGATAGGCACTATTTCCCCCATTTTACAGATGAGAAAACTGGAGCTTTGAGGGTAGATCACTCACTCAAGGTCACAAAGTTTTAAGTGGCAGTGTCGGGGACCAGCGCAGGTCCCCATGATTTCAGATTCAAACCGCACCAAAGTAACCACTCTGGTTGCCCTCTGGGCCTTCCAGGCCCTTTGGAGGTGAGCACGGAGATCTGGGCTGAGGCCTCAGGGAATTCCAGGCCTGGGCTGGGGGTAGATGAATGTCTCTACCATTAGTATTAGGAAAGGCCTTCACCTACCTCCTGGAGAAGGCGTGGTTAGCAGGCTAGTCATCGCAGCAAGTGGAGAGAGAGCAGATCTGTGGGAAGAGGGACAAAGACGGCATGAGGTGGATGGGCCCCTACCTGGCGCTGGAGAGCCTTTGGGGCCAGGTTTTCGTGGGTCCCTTCGCTCATGGGGCTAGTCCTAAACCCTTCTCTTTGGGTTTCCCTGAGCACATCTTCGGGCTGGAGGTACCAAGAGCAGAGCCGAGATCTCTGGTACTTGGCGGACGCTGCCTTTGAACGTGCCACCCCGAGATCCTTTCACTCGGCCACCAACCACATTTACCTAAGGGATCTCTCCCGGCCTGAGAAAGTTAGGCGAAGGTATGCAAATTAGCAGCGCACCCAGTTTCGCCCGGCCACAGGCACGGGTGCTCTGCGCTTCGCGAGCCTGGCGGCTGCGCCCAGCCGTCCACTAGGGGTCAGGAGAGGGCCGGGAGGGCAGGACGCACCGGCTCCCGGGCCCGCGTGGGGGCAGGGCCGGGGCCTGGGGGCGGGGAGCCAGGCACCAGAACGTGGAGGTGAGGGGCCTCAGTCGCCTTCGGGCCCGTCCCCGACCAGCCGCCGTCGGGCCCTGGCCCGCTCCCCTCAGTCGTCCCTTCCCCGTCACGCTGCGCCGTCCGCGCACCCCCTGCCGCACCCCGCCCGCCGGCCACTAACGCAGAGCCCCTCTTGGCCCCGCGCGGACGTCGGGGCTGGCGCGGCGTGGACCCGGCGACTCGGCCTCGGCCCCGCCCCTCCAGCGTTACCGGCACACGGCTCCCGGGGCAGCCCGCGGCGCGTGGGACCGGCCGTCCGGGGCGGGCGTTTCCGAGCGGCCGCGACGGGAGGCTCCGGCCGCTCTGGGCTGGCGTCGCTCCCGCGGCCGAGGCGACTGCCGTGTGCTCCCGGCCCCCGGGTTCGGCCGGGCCTCCCGCCCTCCCCAGGTGCCCTCCTCCGCGTGCTCACCTTCCCAGTCGGACGGGCTGCCGCGGAAAGGGCCCGGCGCCGCTCCGCGCGTCCTTTTGAACTCTCCGGGGGGCGGGAACGGCGGAGATTCGCCGAGGGCCGCCGAGGGACACCGAGCGGGAGGAAGCCGCGGACCGGGGCGCGGAGCTAGCTGCGGAGGCCGGCCGGGAGTGGGGGTGGGGGGGCCGGCCGACTGGGTGGGACAGGAAAAGAGGAGAGAAACCGCCCTCTGCAGGTTCCCTCTGCCCGCCCGGCCGCCGCTGCTCCCCCGGGAGGAAAGGCTGCTTTTCCTCGTCCGATTGTCACTTTCCTCTCCATCCGGAGCCGCTTCCTCCCTCGTCCCGAGGCTCCAGACGGCGTGGGATCGGAACTGGGATAACGGAGATCTGTCCGCTTTCCCCCGATCGACGGAATTTGAACTCCCAGCAAATGCGGAAAATCACGTTTACTTGCGTTTGCGTCTCATTTACGTAAACAGGTCCGCGTCCAGAAAGCTTGGAGCTTCCCGCGGCCGGGAAGCCGGGAGGCTCGGAGGGGGAGGGAGGGAAGCGGGGCCCCATCCGGATCTTCCTCCTCTGACATTTCTTCCGAGGCTACATGTATAGTATAGAGGGTAAGAGCGTCACGGACTTTCGATTCAAACGGTCCCAGCGCCGCGGCTTGTTAGCTGTATGACTTTTGGGCGAATTACTTAACATCTCTAAAATCTGTTCTCTCATCCCTGAAATGAAGCCATTTCACGGCCACACTTCTAGCACCTGGTAAGAATCTCAACCTGTTAATCAGTGCCACCCTTAAGCCATCTTGACTCACTTCTCTGTGGCAGGAAATGTTCTCATATTAATGAACTCAATGACTAAGGAAGGATGTAATAGTATAAACACAGGCTCTGCCATCCGCCCTGCTGTGTGATCTTGGACAAGCGACCTTGGTTTCATTTCTCCATCTAGGGCAGTACCTCTTTCCTGGAGTTACTGGGGGTGGTGGAGGATGGAATGTTAATACACCTAAAGCATTAGAACATCACCTGGCACATAGTAAGTGCTCAATAAATGGTAGCCATTTTTATATTGACTTCCTACTTAGAACTCAAGTGGTTTATTCTGCCTTCCATTCCAGTGATACAGACTTCCTTGCTTCCTTATTCCGGTGAGGAGTTCTCTGGTTTTGGAAATCAGTATTTATATAGACTGATGGACCGATCTTGTGCATGTTCATTTGGGGAACAAAGACTGACGGAGAAAGTCTCAGAATAGAGGCATAGTGGGAGAAAAAAAGCAAAGACACAAATAAGCAAGGGTAGTTGCTTTCATTCCTAAAGATATTATTTGGTTGGTAAAAAACAGAGGGAAAAGAGTAAGTTGATGAAATTCATTTTATTTAAATATGTCTTTAAAGGCACAGTAGGTATCAGTGAGGCAAAAGAAAGCCCATGTGTGGGAAAACTACCAATCCAGCCAAGAAAGACAAAGAAAGTCACATGGAGGCAAGATGTATATAAGTTAGCCGGTGCCTGGGTGGCTCAGTCGGTTAAGAATCTGACTTCGGCTCAGGTCAGGATCTTATGGCTCGTGAGTTCAAGCCCCATGTCCAGCTCTGTGCTGACAGCTCAGAGCCTGGAGCCTGCCTCGGATTCTGTGTCCCCCTCTCTGCCCCTCCCCCACTAGCGGTCTGTAACCCCCAAAGGTTTGCAGGTACGTGATTTTATCCGTGTTGGCACATACCTACCATTCATTTTAAAAGCATAAACATGCAGAAGAAGGAGATCCAATATGCATATGCTCAGCACCTAATTGAGCATAAAACAGCAATACCGTAAGCATCAGGTGTATTCTGTTCTTCGGTATAGCCTATATATCCTGGATGTGTCATGTTTCCAGTGTTCTCTAGGTATCTCACCTAGTCTGTCAATACTGTCCTTCACATTACTGGAAGGCAGGGACTGGGTGATGTTCTTGCAATTGATTTTATATGGAGATGCATACAGACAGATGACGAATGGAGCCTCATTGGTGGTGAGTGTTCTCTAAGGATTAAATGCTAAACTTCAGAAACTGGAGCAGCCATTCTTTGGTCAACAGACCTCAGGGGCCTCAGGGCAGGGAATAAGAGATACTCATCTCTGCCCAAGGTATTGGCTTCTAGCCCCTTCTTGTGCTGCTGCCAGGACGGCAGTCTTCTCAATCGTAGCCTTTCCCCTGGACAACTTTACCGTTTTGTAAATCAGGGTAAACGATTTGGTTCCTTGTCGGGACTATCTTGCCTAAATAAGCAAAATTATTCGTTAATGCCCAGCATACTGGCCCTTTCCCCTGTCTTCCTGGAACCTCCTGTAGGACCATATGCAGATCAAGTGTCCATCTCACAATCTAGTAAATATCTGCATGTCAGCAGTGCCTCTGTGGTACCAGTTACTTTGGGTGCTCCCCCCCGCCTCCCCCCCCACCCCCCCTTAAGACTATAAGTCCCTAGAAGTCCTCTCTGGCACACCCCTTTCCCAGGCAGGAAAGCCTTGCGGAGAAAAGGCATGAATTGGATTTTGCCAGATGAATGTGGGAGGGGCAAGTCCAAGCAGGTCATGGAAGGCCTTGGACAGCTAAGGGCCTGTATTCCCAGCGTCACCCCTGCCGGTAGCCTTGGAGCATCGCTCCCGGTTGTGATTCTGAGGGCCGCAGGGATGGGATGCCTTCTAGGAGAGGTGTTAAAATACAGGCAGTAGGGCTCGTACAGGGCGGCATGCAACCTCTTGTCCGTTTTGGCAGGAGCGACCTTTTGAAGGCTTTCAAATAAGACCAGCAGGATTAGCTCTTAGAAAAACAACTCCTAAATACAAACACTGATTTCCAGCTCCCCAACAGACGCATTTACTGGAAGGTCCTGCAAGTTCTCGAGCTCCTTGTAGCCCGTGGTTGTAGGGGACACCCAATAAACCGCGCAGAAAGCATACACTGTGATCAGTTCTGACGCGTGTGGGTACTCATTAAACGATCACAATACTGTGGATGTTTCCATCGCTCTAGAAGTGTCCTTGTGCTTGTCTTCCATCTTCATTACCACCGCCTCGTCGTCCCACCACCCCCACTGGTCTCCCTGTCATCGTAGACGCTAACCTGCCTCTCCATCAACTGGGCCAGATTCTTTCTCCAGGCAGTCTGAGTCTGGAAAGGACACAGTGGCGGAAGGTGGTGGAGGCTGAGTCCTCCCTAAAGGACGGTCCACACATTCCTGCCACAGACACCCATGGGCTGGCTCTTGTCCTTTCCTGTTCTTTCGGTTCTGTGAGCTGCCTGATATCCCTCCAATGTTGTGTTTTTGTTTTTTGGTTTTTTTTTTTTTTTGATGTGGCGCTTGAACTCACAAACCATGCGATCATGACCTGAGCCGAAGTCGGATGCTTAGCCGACTGAGCCACCCAGGCGCCGCCCCCTCCAACATGTTCTTTATTGCTCAATTGTGGCCGTTTGTTGTTTGCAACCAGAGAACCCGCACGCAGCCACCACCTTCCTCCCGTGATCACCATTTCAGAGAATGGCACCCCCAAATCCTTGTCTCTCAAGCCTAACCCAGAGTAATTCCTGAAAAACTTCAGTCATGTGTCCTCCTCTAACCCATTGCTAAATCCTGCCCATTCTGCTCCCTGATCAATATTCTGTCTCTATAAAGTTTTAGCTTCTCCCTCATCATTATTTGTCTAGTACCTAGTACAGTACTTGGTGCAGAGTAGGTACTCAGTAAATGCTTGCTGAATGACTGAATTGTGCCGTTGTCCATAACCCCAGACACAAAAGCAAAGATGTAGGCGTGTGTGTTTTTAGGCTGGCAGGAAGTCAAAGTGAGTTTTTAATGTTTTCACAGAAGTAAATGATAGGACGTGAATCCTGGATTTCGGACTCTAAATTCAATGCCGTTTCCATTATATTATCGTATTTTGTCGGGAGTTCCATTTCTTCTTCCATCCCGCTGAGATGCCTTTTTTTTTTTTTTTTAAGTTTATTTACTTATTTTTGAGAGAGAAAAAGGGCATGCAAGCCAGTGGGGGAGAGGCAGAGACGGGGACAGAGAATCCTAAGCAGGCTCCGCAGAGCCCAACATGGGGCTCAAATTCATGAACTATGAGATCACGACCTGAGCCGAAGTCGGAAGCTCGACCAACCGAGCCACCCAGGCGCCCTTCAGATGCTTATTTACGCCAAGGACCACATTGTAAACACTAGACACAGCTCTAAAATGCAACCCCTTTCCAAGGGCATTTGCTTATTAACTGAAAGTGAGAGAGGGCATGCAGTAAAGCGTCTGGATTGAGGAAAGGAACCTGTGCACCCCCCCCCCCCCCGGCAGCATTCTGACCGAGCTGGGGGTCAAGGATGGGACTGACGCTTTCTGAACAAGGGGTACATGCAATACGACCTAAGCGGAGAACAGTGCGCTGGGCTGGAACAACTTTGTGTTAAAATAAGGATCCACACACGGTTCGAATGATACTTTTATTTAACTGTCTGCAAATCTGTTCTTCTGGCTCGAGGTCTTGCCAATGAGTGGTGAGTCAAAGATTTGTCCGCTGTTCTCTGAGTACGTGTGGTTATGGGTCTCTGTGCGGACGTGTCTGTGTCTATAGATGCTTTTGCTAATTTATGGTCATTTTCCACCTACTTTAATTAACATACAAAGTCTTCTTATTCTGACAATGCTAAAGCCTGAGTTCAATACTCCCCGAGTCTAATGGTTTCTTCTCCCAAGCCTGCCTCCCTCCCTCCCCTAAGTCTGCTCCTCAGCCCCCATTAATGCTAGATCTTTAGAGACCATCAGCATTCACACGGGTGGAGAACCTAAAAATGAATGCTAGATCTTAAGTCCCTCTGACCTGTGTACCCT